GCCCAGCGGCTCGAGACGGCGACGGGGACGACGACGAGGAGGAGGACGGCGGCGAGGAGGGGAGGGAAAGGACGAGGGCGAGAACGAGTAGGGGGGAGATGGACGAGGGCGAGGGCGGGCAGGGGAAGAGGTTGGAAGGGGCCGATGAGGAGGAGATGAGGAGGAGGAGGAGGAGGAGGAGGAGGAGGAAGAAGAAGAAGAAGAAAGGTGCAGCAGCAGCAGCAGGAGAGGGTCAGGATGAGGAGGAAATAGGGCTAACGGAGGAGTACAACGATGGGCTGGAGGAAGAGGAGGACAAAGACGACGAGAAAAAAAGGCTGAGGAATGAATGGAAGGAGAAGGAGGAGGAGGAGGAGGAGTAGAAGGAGGAGGAGGAGGAAGGGGGAGAACGGGACCAGGTGGAGAGGGAGAAGACTTGAAGATAAAGTAGCGAGTGCCGAGTCGAAGAGAAGCGGAGCGGAGCGGACCACCCGTGCGAGAGGGAGATCCCATTGAGGCGAGCGCAGCTCATGCTCAGCATGAGCTCTCGGTCGGCGTTGCGGCACACTCCGCGCGCGCCAGCGGGGCTACGGCAGGAAACCCTCACAGCGTGCGAGCGGTCCTCCTGGGACGGGGCCCAGATAGAGACCAGCACAGAGACCAGGGAATTGGCACTGCGAAGCAAGAGAAATTGTCATGCCCGCTTGGAGGGGGAAAAGCAGACAGAGGAGACAGGAGCGACGCGACCGACGGGAGAAGGACGTAGAGGACAAGAGGGAGGAGGGCACAGTCCTGAAACCCTGAAGGGCGAGACCACATACGGCTTGAATTCGTAGGCAGCCACTCTTGGACGGCTGGCCTATGGGCCCCGTGCAGATTGCGGCGACGAGTCCGTCGTACTGTTCAGAGCGGCAAGGGGAGAGGGGACAGGGGCCAGAGCCTTCCATTCAGCTGCACGCCTACCACCACGAGCAATCAGGGCCATGCACAATGGCAGATTCCACCCACGCATCATCGATATGCCATGCCACTTCTGTCGCCGACAACCTCCTTACAGCTGATCGCACAGAATCTAGAGGGAGCGTTCGTTGCCGCCTCGCGGGGCCTGGCCCCGCTTCCCCTTGCCGCCTTGCTTGACGAGGTGACCGACGGAGGCGTCCGCCAGCGCCACGCAGTCCGGAGTCGAGCTGGTGGCATGGGTGGGCTGTCTCGTGTCCCTTGCCGAACGCTGCCTTGACCTTGCACACGCAGACGTGGGGGTGAACTTGCGCGGGGATCTTCATAGCAGTCGCGTGCGCCGGGGGCTGCTTCATCTGCTGCCCTCCTTCCAGGGAGTTGCTGTCCATCGCGTTCATCACCCAAGCCGTCCATGCATATGAGCGTGGTGAACCAGTGCCGTGCCTTTCCCCGTGGCGGCGGCGCGGGACTCCTCGGCGAACTGACTCTGGAGGCCTCCGGAGGCTCGTGGAGGCATCTGGAGGCTTCCGGAGGCTCGAAACAAGTTACAACGCCCAAAACCTCGACCCTCATATCTTAGGAGGGGGGTGGCGTGACGCGCATGACGCAAGATCATGAGCGTAAAGTATCGGGACAACAACAACAACAACAACAATAATAATAATAATAATACTAATACTAATACTAATTTTAAGACTGTTCGCCCTTATATGCTCGAGTGTCCAATCACGCGTATTTCCCAAACCCTCGATACCCGCCCTCTTCGTCTTCGATCGAACCCCTTTTGGGGGGTATACCTTTCTTCCCTGCAGGCCGGGCCCGGGCAAGCGGCGGGGCGGCCGCGGACCGTCGGCCTGGCCAGCGGCAGCGCTGATCGGCGGGGCGGCCGCGGACCGTCGACCCGACCCCAAGAGGGACGGACAGGGGACCGACCACGACGACGACGACGACGACGACGACGACGACGACGTCGAAGACGACGCGACGACGACGACGACGACGGCGACGACGAGCGAAAGCGAGAGCGAGAGAGAACGACAGCAGGGCCACGAAGGGCACGAAGTAGGCCACGAAGGGCGACAGCGGGGACACGAAGGGAATGCGTATGGGGCCACGAAGAGCGCGAACCAGCGGGGGCCACGAAGTGCAGATAATGCGGGGCTACAGAAGGCAACTATGGGGCCACTGAGGGTAGCAACTGGGCGACGTAGGACAGTGAGGGGGACACAAGTGGCGACAGCGGGGCCACGAAGGGCATGCACATGGGGCCACAACGGGCGCGACTCCTGGGTGCCTGGGTGTCGGGAGCGCGGCGCTTGGGCAACTTGCAGGAAATTCCAACGCAAGGCTATTCTTCAGTAACTGGCAAGCAAGTCTCCAGCGAGAGCGCGATTCCAGAGCGCCGGGAGAACGATTCCTGAATAAATTGTAAGGACGTCTCAAGCGAGAGCGCGACTCCTGAATAAAATGCGAGGAAGTCTCGGGCGGGAGCGGGGGTCATGGCTAAACTGTAAGGAAGTCTCATGCGGGAGCCGTTGTTGTGGTTGTTGTTGTTGTTGTTGTTGTTGTTGTTGAACATTATTAATTCTAAAGAATAATTATTGTTGGGACCCCTGGTGCACGGCCCCCCCGCCGCGCCTAGGCCGCAGCTACATTTTCATCATTTTTTCGCGAAAGCTTCAGAAAAGTGGATGGGGTCCAGATCCGGTTGTTTTGTTGTAATCCGTTTTCCCTTGCAAAAAACACTATAAAATGACATTTCTTGTTCTAATATAATCAAATTTCAAGAATCCCTTGCAAAAAATAAGGTAAAGTGGACATTCGCGCGCGCAAGACGAAATCCTTCCAAAAGCTTAGTGTTCGGAGCGATTTTAACATAAAAACATCAAAAAACCAATGGTTTTTCAACAAAAAAATGTCAAAATCTCATCCCGCGCGCTCTTGCGGATTCGTAGGAAAACCAACACTTTTTAAACATTTCTGTCAAACGGGCTTTTGCGAGCAACTTTTTCGAACTTCTGCGACAACGGTTGCGCACCTGCCAGGGCCATCATCCCTGTCAAATAATACCATGCGGGACACATTCGTTTTTTGCGCGCGCACGCCGAAATCTCCAAAAACCATTGGGTTCTCTGTCTCTCTCTCTGTCTCTCTGTATTATGTATTGTATGGCACAATTGCACCATGCTGGGCACATGCGCGCCCCGAATAAGTGACCAAGTTCTGTGGGTGTGTACCCCACGCCAGTGTAGTAGCCACGGTCGTCCGCACGCCACGAAGTGAAGTGTCCCAACGTCATAGGGCGGGAAGCTGGGTTTGGGTGGTCGCGAAGAGTCGTTTGGATATTTGGTAGAGCTTGTAATGCCCCCCCACGAAGTGGGGGTATTGCCTGGTGTCGTATGAAAACCCTGGCACTGGGGAGAACACCACGCGTTCGGGTAAAATGATTGTTGTTGTTGTTGTTGTTGTTGTAACCCGGGGGCCAGGGGCCCAGTTTGAGCATCAAGACTTTCCCTGACAAAAAACCGGGTGCGAGCGTCGAGGGGCACACTTTGATTCAGAAAAAAACAGTATGCACCAGTGGGGGGGGATCAATAAAAAATTATTCTTCAGACATGAGAATCCAACAACAACAGCAGCAGCAGCAACAACAACAACGGCGAGTTGCCCCTCTGCGTGCAGGAAGCGGGAGCTCGGAGGACGGGGCTGAGGGGCCCGAGAGAGTTCCAGGAGGAGTCCCGCAGAGGCCTCTGGAGAGGCCCGAGAGGGTGGTGGAGATGGAGGGCGGCCAACAGCAGGGTGGGGATTCGGGTTCGTGTCGAGGCTGGAACCTCGAGGATCGCAGTTCGAGGCTTCTTGGCCTTCGTGGGCCCTCAGCGCCGCCACGGCTGGACGCAGCACGGGCAGCTGGTGCGTCGGGACTCCGAGGAAGCGGGCCCTGGGGCCCGTTCCGAGCGGAGCCTGGCCGAGGGGGGGGCCCCAGAGGCCAGACGTCGTGCTCTGCTCCGTGCGGGGTCCCCGATGGTCCCCGCGGAGGTCCGACGGCAGCTTCCTCGGGGCGGGGCTGCCACCCCGGCCCGACGCTGGACGGGCCCGGGGCCCAGAGGCGGCCCCCCGAGGCCGAGAGTGCTGGGGAGCCCCCGCGTCGACCGGGCCGCGACGCGGGAGCTCCGGGGCCCGTGGGTGTCATGGCCGGGGCTTTGGGGCGTCCTGGACTTCGCGGCCCCCTCCGTCTGTCGGGGGCCCGAGGGAGGGGGCCCTGCCGGGGTGGGGTTTTGGGGAAGGTATGCCCAGCTGGATGCTCACTGCTCCTCCTTCGGGGGTACCGTTGCGAGCGGTTTTCTCCCTCCCCCACCACGGCCCCTACCGCAGGCTTCTGCTGGCTGACGCTCGCAGCCTCCCCGCCACCCAGGGCCCGTCGGCCCCGGCGGGGCTGATCGAGGTGGGGCCAGGTGACCCTCTGGAGCACGGCGCCAGGGGTCACCGGCGGCGGCCCCTGCCCCACCTCTGCATCTTCCCGATGCTTCTCCCAGCACGGGCCCCCCTGCCGCCCCCCCCCCCCCCCCGGGGGCCCCCCCTGCCCCTCGCGACGCGAGGCGCCTCCTGCCGCGAGGCGCGAGGACCCCCCCCTGCTTGGACGCCCCCCCTCCCCTCGGACACCCACGAGGAAAGAGGTGGCGCGTTTCGGGGATGCCTGGGTCGTCGTCGTCGTCGTCGTCGCCGACGTCGTCGTCGTCGTCGTCGTCGTCGTCGTCGTCGTCGTCGTCGTCGTCGTCGTCGTCGTCGTCGTCGTCGTCGTCGTCGTCGTCGTCGTCGTCGTCGTCGTCGTCGTCGTCTTCGTCGTGGTCGTCGTCGTGGTCGTGGTCGTCGTCGTCGTCGTCGTCGTCGTCGTCGTCGTCGTCGTGATCGTGGTCGGGTCGTGGTCGTTGTCGCCGTCGCCGCTGTCGTCGTCGTCTTGGTGGTCGTCGCCGCCGCCGCCGCCGTCGTTGTCGCCGTCGTCGTCGTGAGTAGCTTGTCTGGGGGAACCGACAGATGCCGATGCCGCCGCTCCCTAGACTTCTCCC